CGTACTATCGATTTAAAACGTAATAGCAGGGGTATCGATCGGACGCATTATCAGTTATTAAGTAATCAACCGGTCGTGCATAGGTCGGAATTGCAATTTCCGTGGCCGGCAGTTCGGGAAAATCGTAGCCAGCTACCCGACAGCAACGAGATGCATTCGTACATTCGAAGGCTTTCTTACGTATAAGCTCTAATAATAATGCGATCGATCGAGCCGATAATTTCGCCAGACACGGCATAATCGATACGATGGCATCCTAATCGCGTCTTCTCATGCTAGGAAATTAATCAGCGGGCCCAACTACTATCCAACAGGCTATTAACGACGATCCTCCGCTCATTAGCCGAGTTTCCCTAATTATACAACTCTAATCCGGATTAGTTAATGATACAATGCGATTATGCGTGCGCAAGAAGATCAGAATCACCGAAAATTGCGCGACACGGGTACCGTTGGCATCCTGGGAATCCGTTCTAAAGAATTAATGATTATACCCCATTATTTTAATCCGCCGTTGCGTAATGTGATTGGAAACGCGATTGGATATCCAATTAAAAGTTTTATGAGATTCGCGAATGGTATTTCTTCCGCGCGCTTGGAGCTCTAATAACTCTACAGATTCCGCCTCCAATTGTTTAGCTTGAATATTAAATTTTTTTATCTGCTTTTACAGTTTTCGAACTTGGAACAACGGAGAACAATTCGTTTGACTTCGGGCGAGTATTTTTCTTCGCTTTAAGTCAAACAGACATTATCCAAAGTATTTTAATTTCGAAAGGCGAGAGTATTGAAGAGTCTCCGTCGAGTATGATCTAAAAATCACGATAAAAATTACCGAGCAAACGGTGTACAGATTTACAATGGCCACGGTTAATTATATTGCTTCCTGGCTCAGGAATCCGCCCAGTTGCTCGACCTGATAACGCGGAGGATCGATGAAATCTCGATCGATCGATGTGTAGGTGCTGCTTTCGTTATTGGAACGCTCGGTATTTTCTCGTCGGTATTAATTAATGAAATAGCCGTTACGGTCGTTAGAACAAATGAGCGAGGGACGAAATAAAACGCTACGTTTATTTGCCCTCGAAGATTCAGCGTGAGCCTTGCGTTTCGTTTTAACCACAGATCGATGGAAAAAAGTATCACCTTTCAGAAATTTACGTCGGTTTTTGGATGACAATTAATTTAAATTTATGTCTTCTAAAATTGTTAAGAGAAAATTGTTTTTGAAAAAAAACGCGAGTATAAACTAGAACCTTAGATCGATTGTTTATTTCTGGAGAATATTGTAGAATAATATGGGGAAGGGACCATAGAAATTTGCGTTCTCCTTACGCGTCCTCCACATAAATCAACATCTAGAGGGAACACGACCCACCAATCATCTACAAACACATCCATCTTCGCTACATAGCAACTCACCAATAAGCTAACATCAATATTAACGTAAAGCACAAATACACACCGTGACGGAGTGTCACGATTGTTCAAAGGTTGCAAGTAAAATATCACGATCGTTCGAACAACACATATGGAATATCACGATTCCTCTAGGAGCACACAGAAGATATCGCGATCTCTAAAAAAATATACAAACGTATTTCTTTGGAAGGGAAATTTTAATTTCTGGCGATATACCATCTTTATATTAAATAAAGATCCTCCTTATATAAATCAAATTCTCTCGCGACTCTGCATATAAAAATGGCATATATTTCATATTTTATGGTAAGATATTGTCCTCGAGCAGACACGGAATATACAATCTGAAAGACGGGAATCTATCACGAACCGAACGAAACGTGTTTATAAATCGGTATTATTTAACCGATACTCGTAATCACGGCCATCGACGATACGTGATCTAGCGCCATAAACACAATTTCAACGTTAAAATCGACCTAGTAAATATGCAAACATAAAATATCTCGTAAAGCAGAATGTTTTCGGTGGCCATACAGTAGCACTTTTACGCCCGCGAACGTGTTTTATATACGAAATGATAAGAAGAATCGATTTATGTACATACCTCGACGAATATTGTGCACCGAACAAAATACTTGCGTTAAAATATAGCCAGACGCGGGAGGAATTCAACTTTTTCGTCTGTGAATTATAGCCTCGGTTTTTAGAGATCGCATCGATAAAAGATATTACAACGTAAATACGAACTGCCGACCGATTGCATTTAAAGCGAGAAATTGAACGGGATTCTGTGCCCGTAAATACGAAAGAAAATATCGACTGTAGCCGTATTTATTCGCGTTACGTAATTTCGCGAAAAAAATTTCGCTGATCCAGGAATTCGCGGCGTTATTTGGGCGTCGAGGAGCCTTGTTAACCGACGCTCGAACTCGACGTCGGCTGTACAAAGCGGAATCGAGGCAGCATGTACGTCGCACGGAACAATACGACGGGATAGCAATCTCTTTGAGCGAACCTGGCCGGTCAAAGAGATGAAGCAATGGCGACTGCGGACCAATGGAAAAAGATACGAGGGCGAAACTCGTGAAACGAACCGAAAACCTCGTACCTTGCACAAGGCCGGGTCTCGTCTTCTCCGTGGGATGGGAGGGGGGGGGGCAGGGGGGAGGGGAGTGAAAAAAATAATCTCGTTCGCGCGCGTCCCGACGGCTCCAGGGGGTGGAAGATACGACGACAAGGGTATAGGCTTTTGGTAGAATGTCATCGGGCAATCAACGCCCTCGTTAGCGGTCTGATCGATGACCAGGCGAGCTTTAATTACAAGAGCGCGTGTCCACAACGCTTTGAAAGTATTCGTCAATGAACTGGATCGGGCTGGTAGCATGCTGGCGGTCCGATGGCGAGAGCAACGTCGCCCTTGATTTATGCGGGACCGCGACGAGATATCGGCTTTTCGATAAACAGAGTTATTTATCAGCCGAATGATAACGATGGGCAAATTTCGACCGTGTCCCGAATAAATTCCCACCCCCTACTTTCCATACCCGTAACCCTGGAAAAACTGAGAAAGACTTCCTGACTCGAGGAGACTGGAGAATACGAGAAAAAGCGTAGAATATTCAGTTCTATTAAAGATTTACCGTGTCTAGAATGGGCTAGTTTGAGTGGTGTGTTGGAAAGCAACGAGTTTGATATTTTTTTGGAATCTCAAGGAATCGTAGAGGTATATTTATTTATAGGAAACACGATAGAAAATTTATAGATAAAGAGGAAGTGCGTAGAGTGAAAAATTGGAAATCGTGAACTTTGAATATTTTGGTGAATGTTGTCATTTGAAGAGAAGTGAAACGAAATACGTTACCGTTTGTTATCTTGGTTAGCAGTTTTCTGTGGTTGTTGAGAATTCAGACAGCGGTTATTACGTACAATATAAATATCAATTTTTACGTAGGAGATAACTTTCGCATTTCACGCATTCGTTTCGAAGTTATGGTCATTCGAATACATCGATTTCAATTGTTCGCTGTATGCGCCATCCACTTTATCTGCCTTTTCATCATTTTTCCATCATATTTATATTGCATAGTTTCATTTCATATAACAGGGTATGAGTGTACCGTTCTGCGCGTAAATTAAATTAGTGATGTCCGTATCAAAGGCTTTCTATTTTTAATGGAAAATGGTTTTGTATTCTATAACCAAGTCAAAACGACAAAGTATAAAATCATATTACTTAATGGGTAATATACACATATTGGCAACTAGTAATAAAAAGTAACCGAAGACTGTTTCGAATTTCTCCACTTTCTTTTTCAACGATATAATAATGTACAATATAAAAATTGACAATATTCTTTTTTTCGTATTGGCACACCACCCAAAGTAGCCATTAGACTACAAAAAGAGAAATTGAACATGATAACAAAAGTATTCAACCTAGACTAGTTCTACAAAGATTATTCGTTGTATCATATTTTCGTTCATGTAATTTTGCCCCGGCCGCGTATCTTCGACCCGGTGTATGAAGACTTAAAAAGGAGCCTCGTCGGGAAACATCGTGCACAGAGGGTTAGCGTGTCATGTAAACAAGCCGTGATGAACCGTCGTGTTTCCCGATGATTAATTAGCTGAACATTGTTATCGTCGATAGTAATTAATAAAATTATTAGAAAATCAAGATTAATTGGCAATTTGTGCCAGAGTCGATGTTGAAATTTTACAAATACTTGGAGAAGATTCTTCGTTGCGTCCATACACGAGGTACTGTCTACGTTCGAGCAGAACGCCTCTGGGTATTATTAATATTAAATATTGTGTTGTTTCGAGGGGGATTATCTGACAAAAACAATTTCTCAAATTGGGCAAATCTTTCACGCAAGTTCATTTGAAATTACCAAACTGTTCCCTTAACCGGTCAACTGTGGCGGTCTCTTTTCAGGCGCGCAATTGTTTGTTTTATTTCGAATATATTATAGCTTTCGCTAAAATTACAATGTAAATAGCAAGTGGCAACTAATTTTACGCATGAGTGGTTAATATTTTTCACCGAGGAACTAACAGAATTAATTCTCGAGATTAAATGTTGAAGATAATGAATCTAGCTAGGACTCTTTAATTTGACAAATTGTGAGAACACTCTGCATCAACCCCGAAACATTGCAGTATTTTTGTGAATCATCTCTGGTACATAGGAACGTTGGACAGTACATCGTACGAGGGGAAAAAAGGAAAAACGAGTGGGGGAGGGAAGAGTCCGTTTAAAATCACAGAAACTCCAAGGAGGGTGGAAACTGGGTAGCCCATTTAGGGGCCTCTTAACGCACAGGGCCATCCCCCACAATGCAATTACGTGGCGCCAAGCGGGGACGTTGCATTACACGCGACCCTCGACGCACAATGGAACGCGAAAGAGAAAGAGAACAATAGTGGGAGTCGAACGCTCTCGGTCGCGTCCCAAGAAAAGTGGCTTCTAGTTAAGGGTAGAAAGAGAGATAGAGGGAAAGAAGGAACAGGTAGGAGACGAGATCTAGGCCGTTGGCACAGCTCATGTGAAAGAAAGTCTCGTCGGAGTTTAGGTCAGTCTTCGGGGTCGACGAGGACGCACATACGGGTCACATGACGTCGGTGAAGCAGTCGGTTCTGGACGGTACCAGCAAGTGGTCCGCGAAGATCGCCATTACAGGTTTGTGGCCAGCTCGTTGCGCCCGCCGGCCATGACCGGTTTTTGCACCCCCATCCGTGCAACGGAAACGATGAAACGCGCAGCGCTCGATTACTATATACGATAACATTATGTGTACCACCTATGTGCCTAAATGTATTGTTACTGTTATGATTTTCTGTGCAAAAACGCGCGCGCCAAACCACCCTCAACCATATTTCTATTTCCCTTTCCCGCGACCCCTTTCGCCATTTGTTCATCCATGTATTATATATACTTGACCACTCGTCCCTCATTGTTTCTTTTTTTACGTTCTACACCGTTTCACCTTTACTGTGATCGTTATTATTTCCATCATCGGCGTCTGACGCTCTGCCGGCTGCTGCTGTGTTGTACACTTTTTGACTGTCACATTGATATCTATATACATACTATATATATACTTCTATACATTGTATAGCGATTTGGCTGTGCCGTTTGTCGGAATGCACCCGTTCCTCGCATAATGTGTGCATAGAGCGGCTAGAGGCATTCTGGAACCGGCGTCCGCGGCGTCGAGGGACAATTTTCGCTCCGGGTCGCTGGACCTGGCCCTCCCTTATCGCCCTTCCTTTCGTGTTTTTGTTTTCTTTCTATTTTCGCCTGGCGCTCTTGCTTCTCTCTGTCTCGCTGCGCGTCCTCCGTTTATCTCGTTTCTCCGTTCCCCTATAATTTTTCCGGTGGAGAAATGGCCACGCGACCCGGGGGAAATGAAAATTATCCGCGTCGCGCCGCGACGCTCGTCCAAAATCAAAATGTCATGCCCCCGCGAGCAACCGTGCGTATTGTAGATTGCACTGTTCGCATCGGTGTGTCTCCGCTACGCCAAAGTAACACAGAAACTTCCGGCATAAAACGATACCGGTGTGTGTGTAGAGAAATGCAATTGCGAGACGGGGACAACGTACGGCGTACGCGAACCGTACATGAATGTGGTAGACGTAGTGTTACTCGCGGTGCAAGGTGAACGCCTGCGTGTATCGTTTTGCCAACTAGGCTCGTAGTTGTGGCGAAAGTAGACGTAGAGGGATTACGAACTTAATTCGAAAACACCACCGAGTCTACACACACAGAATTCGGGGGCGTGTCGAACGAAGGACGAAACGGAGTCTCGACGATGAAACGCGACCGAAAATGTGGAGCGTTTATGCGAAACGATGGTGGAAAGATCGATTGGCTCCTACGTTGTTACACCACCCCACGTTTGGTCCGAGTTGCATCCTTCGCGACGCAAATAATTTCTGGCGTGGTGCGTAAGCGGTCGCCTTGGGTAGGAAATCGATTTTTTTATTATAAATTCGACGCGTTTGTGGAACGAGTTGCAAAGTTAAAGCAACCTTGCACCTTTTTGTTCGGGTAATTAGGGAATTTCTGCCCAATAGATGTGAGAACATAGATGCACGTATCCCTATAATTACTGGAAGGCTTTGGAATTCTTTACCGATTTAATGATGAGTAACGGGATCCATCGAGGCCACTAAATCGACCGTATTATTCCAACCGTCATATTTTTACGCAAATTCAGATATATCATTTGGAAGGATTTAAATTAAAAATAATTGAAAATTTCACGCCAGTTTAAAATAAATTATTGTTGTCGAATAAGAACGAACTCCCGAAGATTATTTCTCATAGGATTGCTAGTTTAACAGTTCCAATTTATCAAAGAATAAAATCAATTTAAAAGTTCAGCAATAATCCAAGATCGGTATAAAAATCGCCAAAGACTGTAACGCGTCAAAATTTCATCGAAATCGAAAACCACTGCTCGAAAAAGCGTCCTAGTTCGCGTGGAATGCCCCATCCAGCCGCGCAATTAAAATATCGTTTTCCTCGAGGAGGATGGATCCCAGGTGAAAACGGTACTCCACATTTTCGACGTGTTTTTTCGCGCAGAATCGGCTTCTTCGTGCACCACGGTCCGCCCACGTTCGAAAAACAGAGCAATCGAAATTCAAGGCACAGCATTCAAAGGATACTCTATACACACGTCAGCAATATGATACAGAGCAACACACGAAGAAGTCGTACGTACGATGTGACGAACGGGTGCATACTTCTCACACGTCATCCCCTCGAAACACACCTAACCCATATATCCTGTCCAATTACTCGAGCACCTCCGCCGAACACGGTACACACAGGCGCGCAAGTACACACCGTGTCGATGTTGCGCACGTGTCGCCTCCATAATTTACATTTGTCTCTGGGCGCAACGTTATCGCGGGTCGGCCATTAGCGCGCGAACATTAATTGGACATTTCCAGGCGTTCGCCTGCGTCTCGTTTCGGGACCACCGTCTCTCCCGCTTCCGGCGTTTTTTGTCTTCCGGGTTTTCGCTGTGGCAATTTCACGGCAGTCGCTCGTGCTCTGCGACTCGGCGAACATTTCAACGGCGAGATCGATGAAATCGAGTTTACGCGGTGGTCGTCTCCCCCCAGTGATCGACAATTTACCGAACTGAAACAATAGCTCCCCGAGTTCGTCGATTTTCGCGTTTCGAGGAACGTTCCAGGTTTCTTGGAAATTGCATCGCGCCCCCGTTCAGGGCCATCCGGATCCGCTGAACCCCGTTCCCTTTCGAATCGAATGTAAATGCCATAATTTAGAGTCGAAGGCACAATGAGTTCCGTATACCGAGTTTCGTACGAAATTGAGAAGAACGACAGCCTCTTCGACCTGATTTCCATTCGGATTTCAACATGCCGACAAGAAAGGGGCGCAATTTATGTGTCCATTATTTGCAATACGTATTTCTTAGAATCTTACAGATATACTGTTACTGGTATTCGTACACTATAGCGGTGATTCACTTCGATAAATGGGGAAAACTTGTTTCTTATGAATTGTCGTTTTAGAATCTGATGTAATTCCATTCTTTCATTCAAGGGTTTAAGTTTGAATAAATTACGAGTTAAACTTATCAAGGGCCGTGCCACTTTCGAAACACGTATTGTTGATTTCTATACTGTCTCAATAATTATTATTCCTCTCGATCGATGTTGTAATTATTGCCTGTTAAACAAAAGTTTCTTCTCATTCATAATGAATCACCCCATTACAGTGTACGAATACGAGTGGAAGTAACTGTATTTATCTGGTCACTGGTGTTTCACTGGTTAGATATGAAATGCGTAATATCCCATTTATGAAAGGTTTCGAGCCTGAAGCCAAGAACGTTCGTGATTGCTTGGCGGGGGTAAGTTCTTCGGGGGTTTCTTTCTTCCGTTTCCTTGCGCAAAGCGTCGCGACGAATAAATTTAGGTGACCAATCATCAGATTACGAATCAGTGAAAAAGGGAAACGAGCGATCAGAGACTTTCTCGATCAGGAAACACGTGCACAGATCGTCCAATTACCCTGGATCGTTGTAATCGCGGGGCTTGCGCTAAAGAGAACCTTTTAGTCGTTAGTCGACGATCAACTCGAGCAAACTTCCCGGTAAGTGGTCTTGCAATTCTTACGCGTGTGTTTGATCTAGTATATCCAGTATTTGCAGTACCGTTAGTCGAGTTTGTTCGTTCATCTTTGTCACACGATCATCGATATTCAGCTTCTCCATTGAAGAGCGTAGAATACTATAGAGGCTAGAGAAACTTCATTCGTCGTTATCCTAAACTGATCCCGAGCACCGTTAGGAAACGTAGGCGAACCCTTCTATAATATAGTTTCGATACAAAAGCGTACAAAAATTGCAATCATGCCACAACACGTTCGAGAACACGATTACGACTGTAACGAGAATTAACCCTAGGAGGACTTCTAGGGTATTTTTCTACGTTATTTACATCTCGCTCTGCATTCATCTTTCGCATTGTTTAATCGTAGCTGTGCGTAGTGCGTAAATTCGAGCGAGGAATTACGCTAATAGAAAATGTAAATATTATAGTATATCATCTATCGGCGTGTGTACGTGACGCAAAAGGAAATATGAAAAAGAAGAGTCTCAAACGGCCCCAAAAGTTAAGTCATCCTAGGGTTAATAAACATGCACAACCCTCTTATAACATGGATTTCACGTAACGCTGTTTCGCAAGAGTTTAAAAGCGATTAACGCGCGATCCTCCCACGTGTGCATACTAAAAGCATTCTCTTTCCTTGAAACAACTAAACAATGAAATTCCAGTTCTGTGCGTTAAGCCGCAAAATTCAAGACTTCTCTTAAACGAGCTCGCAGAAAATTAAAATGATAATGGCTACCGCTAGCAATTACTGCAAAAGGTTTTTTTTTTTTTTTACTTCTCGAGACTTCTCGTATGACACAGTTTCGATTGAGACGTATTATAGGAGGGTTACTTGGACAAGAATTGATTTTATTCGAAACAGAGAACTGAAAATACCGTGCATTGCCAACGCGTGACGGTCGGTCGTTGATCGACGAACATTTTATTCGGCATGTAGCTGATTAACGTTGCACGTGCTTCTTCGTCAAACATGTACGTGTATCGTATGTCGTGCGGTTATCCATCGCACGAGCTAGCGCTCCCTCTGCTCCGGAGGAATTCAATCGAAAGTCCATTAAGGTCACATGGCAACTTGTTGTGGCTCCGTTGGCATATACCGCTGCCATTGTCAAAGCTAAGCCGGCTCTATCGGTCCGGCTTCGTGAGCCAACGCCTAACCAATGTCCTCGACGCTATGGCGACATTTATCGGAACCGAACTACCAGCCAGCCGTGATATGTAGCCGGATTTGTTGCGCTTAAAGTTGTCGAAATTTCGTTCCATAAGGATCGCGTATAAATCAAGCTGCCCAAGCTTCCTCTTAGCTAAGCTTTCGAAAAGATCTTCTGGACAAGATTCGATTCTTCGAAGTTCTAAGCGTTTGCAATATACCGAGGCTTTGAAATTACTTTTTGATACAAGCTAAGCATTGGATAGAAAATAGCAGAGAACAAATTTTTTAGTACCACCAAAGTATAAAAGAAACACACGTTCGTTCGTGTGTGTGTCATAGTTTTATTCGTCGCGTTAGACACGCCC